AGAGAGGATTGAAAATCAAAAATAATAAAAATAAAGATAAGAATAAAAATAAAAAATAAGTAAATGAAAGAAAAATCTATCTATAAAAATGTATTAAAATAAAATGAAAAAATAGAAAATTTAAGAAACCCAAAAAACTAAAAAACAAAAAAACCTCCAAGTTCAAATGCAATGAAGTTTCAGTTAATAATTTGGGTGTGTGTCTCAGTCTCCAATCCTGGAGATGGTGACTCAGATGTTGTTCTGTAGTTGTCTCATCAAAGGGGACGCATAAAGTAGAACAAAACTGCACACACACACACTCAAAAAAAAACCTCACCAAGTGTCCCATTTTCAAATGCAATACAGTTTTAGTAAGTTTTTCAGCTTACAGGTGTAATTCGGTTGTTCTCTCATCAAAGGTAGGGAGAAAAAGAAAAAAAAAGAGTCTGGAGACAGTTCTGAGAATGGTATCTGCAGCTGTGTCTTGCCTGTCTGCTGCTTTCAGCCTACTGTTGCTGGAGGCATTATTTATGCAGATCTCTAGGGTGAGCTTAGCACTCACCTGGCCCTGCAGGCGTTGTTTACTCAGAGTTTTCCTGTGAGCCTCTGCTATAAGCTTTCCCTTTCCAAGCATTGGTAAAGGTGACACTGCACCCACGTTCTCAGGCCTGCGTGTTTATTTACAGTTCATGTGGGAAGTGGATCTTCCCCCCTCTCCTGTGCAGTTTTCCTCCCACCGCCACTTTCGCAAGCTTTCCTGCTTCTTATTACTGGGCGGTGCTGCTGCTGCTCCTGCCAGCCGCCATGTTTGTTTACAGTTCTTGTGGGAAGTGGGTCTTCCCTCCTCTCCTGTGGAGTTTTCCTCCCTCCGCCACTCTCACCAGCTTTCCTGCTCCTGGTTGCTGGTTGTGCCCCTGCTCCACTAGAGCCTATCCTGCCCGCCTGGCTTGTTTATTTACAGTCCCGGGAAGGATTCCCTTCCCCCAATCTTCAGCGCTCATGGCGCCCCACCCTCTTTCCCACATGTCTTTATTGCTCTTATTGCTTATTACTCAGTTTCTGTTTTTCCCCCGGGTGGGGGTCGGTCTGTCCAGGGCCTATGCTGCCCAGGCCCAGGCTTGTCTGTGGGAGTACCGTGGTACCGTGAAGCTCACCTGGTCCACGTCTTCCCAAGCCTTCTGGGCGCCAGTGACTGGCGGCCCGGGGGCCCTCCTGGTTTCTCCGTTTAACGTGAAGTGGAGATTCTCTGCGCCGGCTGGAGGTGTGGAGGGGTCAAAGTTATGCCTCTTCTCAGTGATTATGCCTGCAAAGTGTGTCTCCAGTGTCTCTCCAAGATTTCACTACAGGAGGCTCGCTTTCTGCTTCCTCCCTCTAGCTGCCATCTTAAGTGTATGCTTTGTTAGTGTGCTTAATCTACTTTCCAACAAGTTATTTTTTTCCTGACATTTCAGCTGTGTGGGGCAATAATTTTTTTTCTCATGCCACAAAAGGAAGCCTGCTCTCTACCTGTTATTTCTGTAGTATGAAAGGATGTTAACTAGGGTTACATTTATTGCAAGTGAAAGAAGTAAACTGTGATTTAGTGCATGGCTTCAGGACCTCAGTTTCTGTCCATATTTTTGCTTTGCATTCTGATTTCCTGGTTTGTACTTCATGTTAGAAGATGTCTGCTGACATTCCAGCCATTATGACTATGTGTCTACCAGCAAGGAAGGGGGGTAGGGTGGGGAGGCTCAGGATTCCACCTTGATGCCCAAGGACCTTGCTGAAGGAACATATGTTTATACTTATGGCCCAGTGGCCAGAGCTTACCCTGCATAGCTTAAAAGTGTAACTGGAAAATATATTCCTTATTCCAGGCAGTATCTGCTCAGTTGAAACTGGGGTATAGAAAAGAAGGTAAGATAGGCTATTAAGAACAACTTGGTCCCTTTATCACAAGAAGCAATGAAAGCATTATTTTCTACTTATCAATTTTCAAAGTTTCCTGGATGTGAGGTTGCAAGCATTGACAGTTGCAAATTATACCTTTCTTCTTTGTTGGGTAAGTGCTGAGGAGTTATAGGACACATAAGATCATACTGATAAAGCAAATGGTAGGAACCATCGTAACAAAGGGAATCCTGTTCTGGAATCAGATGGTGGGCATGTGCTTATGAGATTTTGACTTCAGACAGTTCTTTGGAATGTAGCTCAATCTCCTGAATGAATGGATGTGTGTGTGTGGAAATACATTTCTCAAGTTTTAACAAGAATCAGTTGAGAGAAAATTAATTCAGCTATAGAAAAGGGTACAAATTAAACTGTAAGGATGGATTTCTGGCCTCTGATGACTTTTAGGGACATCTTAAGATAACTGAAAATGATTTGGATGTCTCTTTTTTGGAAGTTTGTCTAAGTAAGCAAAGACTTATGAAGGTAAAAATATGGTTTATCTTTGAGGTACAAGACTGTGTTCAGGGACTGTTTTTGCCTTATTATTTGCTTCCTTCTGCTTTCCTGCCTGAAAACCTTCCATCTCTCTCCTCCATTTCTTCCTTTCTTTAATATTTATTAAGGAACTGCAAAAGGCTGGGTGCAGAGTTAGGTATTATAGGATACCTGTGAATAAAGTAATACAGACTACCTGTTATCATGGGTCTTATAGTCAGTCTCATGAGGAGAGAGTTAACTGGAGAACTAAGGACTTGGTAGGAAATGGGACATGTGAAAAAGAATTTGATTTTGTTTAGAATGTTAGAAAAGGCTTCATTGAACACAAAATGCCTAAGACAAGGAAAGAAAGAAATGTAGGAGTTAGCTAAGCACCGGGGAGCAAGCAGCATACAGGTAGTGGGCTCTGCTAATTACCTGAATCAGGAAAGAGGATCAAGGGGAGATAAATAGGTGTAAGAGATGAGACCAAGGAAGCTGGACTCTCTAGGGTTTTTAGACAATGAAAATGATTGTTTTATCCCCAAAGCATTCATGTAATAATTTTTCAATAATTTTTTTGTGGTACTGGGGTTTGAACTCAGGGCTTATCCTCTGAGCCACTCCGCCAGTCACTTTTTTGTGTTAGGTATTTTTGAGATAGGTTCTCAAGAACTATTCCCTGGGCTGGCTTTGAACCACAATTCTCCTGATCTCTACCTCCTGAGCATCTAGTATTATAGGCATGAGTCACCAGAGCCCAGCCCATTTTTCAATAACTGATCAAGTTTTCCTGTGTGTCAAGTGCAACAACAAAAAACACCTGCTGTCATGGAGCTCATTTCGTAGCAGAAGATAGACAGTAAACATACAAGTAATTAAAATATGCCATATATTCTATAGCAATATGTGTAAAAAGCAATGAGAATTGCTAATGGAGTTTTAAAGATGATGAAGGGACAGGGTTGGGCCATGTATTTAGATTTATGTTTAGAGACTCTTTTAGTTAAATATTAGAAAACAAACTGGATGCGTATGCAAAGGTGGGGCAAGAAATAGGGCAGGGAGACCTGTTTGGAAAATCCCACATCACCCAGGTAAGGTATGACTGTATTAGGAAATGCCTGCATCATCCAGGGAAGCAATCTTTGGGCCACAGTGGAGGCAGCAGTGACTCTGAGGAGTGTATTTTGTAGAAAAGAAGGTGATCAAATGCTTAGGACTTGGAGATTGGATGAAGGTAGTGATGGAGACCTACTAACCTTGTGAGCATTCACTCAGTTACCAACCCTGGAAGAAGCACAAGTTTGATGATTAGATCATGACTTGTGCTTTGAAATATCCAGCAAGAGTGTCAAAGTGGAGTTGGGTATGTGGAGAGGAGATTAGAAGAAGCATCTGGCTGTTCGGTAAATATGTATTGCTGACTTTGGTGACAGGTGTATCTGAAGCCATGGCCTTGAATGAGAGTGGCTAGAAAGAGTGTGGGCCAGGAAGAGAAGAGTTTTGAAGACCTCCATCACAAAATTGGAAAGAGAAGGCCAAAAGTAGGAGGAAAAGTGGGAATATGGTATCATTGCTAAGGGAAGAAAGATTTTCAAGAAGGAACTAGAAATTATGGCAGCACTGTTGGAATTATGTAAGAAAAAATTCTTTGAATTTATCTGTTCATCTAGTAGTATTTATTGATAGACTGTATGTTCCAGGCACTGTTCTAGAAGCTGAGAATGCAGCTTTTAAATAAGCAAAGCTTCAACTGGTAGGAAAAGGCAGGAAGTTTACTAGTTCAATGTCAGTCCAGGCAAAGTTAGTGTGTCCCTGTCTCAAAAACAAAATAAAAACAAAAGTGATAGTGGAGTAGCTCAGGTGGCAGAGCACTTGCCTAACAGTGCGAGGTCTTACATTCAGTCCTTAGGATTACATTAAAAAATTAGTCTTTGCTATCCAGATCTATATATTCTAGTGGGAGAAAAAAATCAACCACACAAATGGGATTAGAGGAAGATGGTGGGATGAGGTGAGAATGCTGTTTCAGACAGGTTAGTCAGTGCAGATGTCTCTGATATGTCAGATGTGAAGGAGGAAGCCATGGAAAAAGTCACTCTGTGCTGAAGAACTCTGAGGTAGGAAAATGCTTAGGAATTTTGAGCCACAGTCAGGAGAATAGTGTGGCTGGAGTGAAGAAGGAGCAGATTGGGGAAATAGCCAGGGATTAAGGACTCTGTGTGTGGGCGCTTGAGATTCTATTGGGGGTAGGAAGGAATGCTCTGACATTCTGTTATTGCTGCACTCCACAAAAGAAGGCTGAAAAAGAAGGCTTACTGGAGTTTTTTGAGGTGGTGAGGAATAAGGAGTGGAATTAATCTTCACAACCCTATAAGGAAGAAGAAGGTCAGTAGCAGGAAGGGAATGAGGGGATCCTTCTTTTATTTACCTGCTAGTGGATTGAGACTTGATTTCTTGTCCTAGAAAAGGGTCCTAAAATGGTATCCCGGAATCACAGATATAGAGGGACTTCTAAATAGATATGTCTCCCCACCTGTACCTAAGTGCATATGACTGAACTAAGAGCGCAGGCATTTGTCTCACAGACCTTTTTCTGGGTCTTAGACATTCCTACTGACTTCACACTTTCCTATTGCCTTCTTCATTGCCCCTGTTACTTCCTTGTTCCTGAGGCTATAGATGACAGGGTTAAGCATGGGAGTGAGAACAGTATAGAAGACAGACACTACATCATCCAGACCAGGAGAGTGGTATGATGCAGGTAACATATAGGTATAGACAAGAGGCCCATAGAAGAGGTTGACAACTCTCAGGTGGGAGGAACATGTGCCCATGACCTTTTGATGCCCCTCCATAGAGTGCATTCGGAGCACAGCCATCAGGATGAGGGCATAGGAGGTGGTGATGAAGGTGATGGGCACCAGGAGGACCACCACACCTGTCACAAAGAGCACCCGCCCATAGGCCTCTGTGACTACACAGGCCAGCGTGAGAAGTGAGGGCACTTCACAGAAGAAGTGGGATATCTTCCGTGAGCCATAATAGGGGAAATGAAGGGTCAGTGAGGTCTGGATTGAGGCACTGAGAGACCCACCCAGCCAGGAGCCCATGCCCATAAGCAGGCAGACCCAGCGACTCATGAGCACTTGGTAGCGCAGAGGGTTGTAGATGGCTACGTAGCGGTCGTAAGCCATAACGGCCAGCAGGAGTCATTCTGCGGCTCCCAGGAACATGAAGGAAAACATTTGTGCTCCACATCCCCCAAAGGAGATGCTCGTCCAACCGAAGAGGAAACCCACTATCATCCTGGAGACAGTGACTGATGTAAAGAAGATGTCCAGAAAGGATAGGTGGCTGAGAAGTAAGTACATGGGCATGTTGGGCTGGGCATCAGTCCAGCTCAGAAGGAACATGGCAGTGTTGGCAGCCATAGCAAGGATGTAGACCAATACTACCATGCTGAACAGGAACAGGTGTGTCTGGCTCTCATTGAAAAGGCTAGTGAGGATAAAGCCAGTGATGGAGGAATTCCAGGGCCCTCTGCCTGCTTCGTGCTGAGCCTCATTGTGGGGAGGAAAATCAACCAGCTCACCACGGGCTAAAGACATGCACTCAGAAAGAGTGAGGGATGGAGACAGGAGAAGGACAATAGTTGGGGAGTCCAAGTTCTGCAGATTTTCATAGGGTCAACATTATTTCACCCAGAAAATTGCTATAAAAAGCATGACATGTGGCCAAAGCAGTGTCGAGAGGTAACTGATAACTCCAAATGTGTATGTTGAAAGGAGGAAATACTAAGAATCAGTGCTCTAAATTTCACCTCAAAAAGCTAGAAAAACAAGTAAAAAAGCTAGAAAAGGAACAGAACATTACATTGCTCTGTGTTTTATGAAATACGAATAATTAGTAATAAATCCAACATTAAACATATAAGCAAATACACACAGGAAAATATCTTTAAAACCTGTTTTTATATCTAATCACTGAGGACTAGATCCACAAATATGTGAATTATGTGGCTCAGAATTCTTATTTATGTGAGAATTCGTGTGATCATTTCTTGTAGAGATAGGTCACAACTGTACCTGTGGCTAAGAGGTACATTTCATCAGCTAACAGGGCTATGCAGTGCCATATTTCTAATTGCCTTGGCCCTCAAGAGCCCCAGATTTGTCCTTTTGTGCTGTGGCCTAGTGATTGCTTGCATATGGGTTTTTGACAATAGCTTTTCCTTATCCATATTTTGATACTCTCTGATCTTCATTTCAATAGTTTCATGGTAACTGAAACTCAGCCTTAAAACTCTACCACTCTTGGACTGCTCATGCTGGACACAGAGATTTCTTATCAGTTCAGAGCTTGAATATCCTCACATCCCAGAGTCCATTCTCAAAGCCTTACTCTAGAGATGAGCACAGAAGTTAACACTGTTAAACACAAGTGTTCCAGATGATGCTTCAAGACATGACATCCTGCATCTATTTTCTATATTTTATGATGCTTTGACATCTCAAAGTCTCGCAAACATGGAGATGAACCATACCTTCTAGGGCCAGTTAATTCTTAGAGATGACAAACAACTTACCTGCTAGCATGCCTTTGAGATGCAAAGAATCCAATCTGATGGATAGATAGCTCTCTCCACCTTGTTTTATCAGGCTTCTACAGTCTGGAACACTATTTTCCTATCCTGGATTGCCCTGTTAGCAGGTTCTGGGCAACTGGAGACCACTGCTATAACCCAGAGCATGCCAGAATTATTTAAACTATGTAGTCCAAGGCATGCACAATTGCCTGTGTATGAACAGTTGCTTGTTCAATCACCCTTGGTTGAGAACCAATACAGAACAGCTCCAACATTAGTTGCCTTCTTTTCTCTTCTCCTCCCCCTGCACCAAGGCAAATATAAAGGAGTAAGAACTCATATGTTTAAAATCTGTACTATTTGAACTCTGATTTAGCTGAATGTCCTTTGCTGGTTTTACCTAGTTTAAAGCATTGTGATTAAATATGTTGTTTCTGGAGCCAGGCTGGTTGGATTTAAGACCCAGTTAGCCTGTTTCCCAGCTCTGTGACTGGGCAGTCTACTCAGTCAGCCACATCTCAAAAATCGTTAGGGCTACTGGAGGGAATTAAGTGGTTTATACATGTAGAGTGGTGGAAAGAATCTGGCAGGATCAATGAACCATTAAAATATCAATTAGCATCAGTATTATTGGCACTTTTATAACCTCTACTTACCTCTAAATAAAATGGGACCGTCATGATCACTTCCCAGGGATATTGTGAGTGTTGAATAACGGAAATTAAGAGGTTGTGGCTTTTTCCACTGCAGATATTCCATAAATGTTAGAAAGCTTCCTTTCTTCACTTAAGTAAATTAAGTGGTAAAATAACCACACAGTCAATATTTGTATTATCCCCTACCATTTGCAAATTTCCCTTCCACATGTTTTGTATCCTGAAACATTGGAAGCGGAGGGGGAAAAGTGTTTGTTGTGCTTGGGCAGGCGTTTTTTCTGTACAAGAGACCTCCCCAAATTACCTGAGCATAAGGATTATGTCTTTATTTTATATTTCTCCATAAAATATGGTCCATTGGAACCCTTAGTCAATGCTATGACCTGTAGGAATGTATGTGGTAAGCATATGAAAGAACTATACACTTGTTCCCCAAAAGACTACCACTTGTATATCCACCTGCCATTATAGCCTTCTGAATTCAACATCCCCTTGCGGGGCTCCACACCACTGCCTCCATCCAAGAATGCGTCCTTGGTTGTCTTGACATTGTTGATTTTGAGTCTCATGTAGGTTCTTAGTACTGATGTACACATGTGCATTGTAATATATGTAGTATGTATATGCCTATGTGTGCACGTGTATGTGTGTGTCTGTATGTGTATGTGTGTATGATGTGTGTCTTAGAATAATCACTTAGAGAATTTTTTCTTTTCTCATGCTGTTCCATAGAGGTCATATTTTTCTATTCCTATCTCTTCTACCATGTTCAGGTCAGAACTGGCATATAACAAGCATTGAAGAACTACTAGAATGAATGATAAAAGAAATCCTGGATGTGAACAACACAGTTTGTGTTGTAGTCTACATAGAGCCTATTTTTTTTAAAACCCACAATAATTTTTCTGAATGATTTTGTTTATTTTTTAATTCTCCCAAATTTCTACCCTTCCTCCCTCCCTTCCCCCTTCCTTTCTCCTCCCCCCTTCCCTTCTTTTCCTTTCCTTTTCCTTCCTTCCTTCCTTCCTTCTTTCTTCCCTTCTTCCCTCCCCTCCTTCTGTCCTTCCTTCTTCCATATAAAGTACAGTCTTGGATAGTCTTTATGGGTTTTTTTTTGCACTGGATCTTGAACTCAGGGCTTCACACTTGCTTGGCAAGTGCCGTACAAATTTCACCACACCAATAGCCCACACTCTTAGCTTTAAAAATTTAAAATGCTTCAAGTATGGAAGAGGGCTATATTAAAAATTTTTGGCCTGTCAGAAATTTTAAATGCTGGAAAGTTTGACAAAATAAGAGTTGTGGAATTGCCTTTTCATGATGAGCCCATTTCCTATTATGGAACAGCATACATGGAATGGGAATTTAAATCACTCTTGTACCTTGAGTTTCATCCCCTACTCACTTCACATCATCCCAATCCACAGTCTCCATCAGGAATCTTCTTCTCTTGTTGACTTTTCTCCTTTTTCCATTATCCTTCCTGAGCTCCAGGCTGTCCCTCAGAAATCAGGGCAGTTACCTAGGGAAGACCACATGAAAGTTGTGAAATTTGTCTTCTTTCACATAAGGTAACCCTGAAGGATTCTCATTTTCCCCTTAAAGTCCCATTCTTTCCAGCATACTCTGTTGACCTTTTTACTGAAGTTACAGTGAGCTGCTACCTGTCACTGTGCTCCTTCTCACTTCACAATACTACAACTGAAAAGGTTTTGTAATTGAATTATTGAATTTGCCCCATCTTCTTACCTTATAGACAAGATTGTAAAGTCCTGCACAGCACTCATGATTTAGCTGTGGAACTGAGATTTACATGAAATAATTGCTGAGAGGACGAAAGCTACTCAGTCCCAAATCTTTAAGTCATGTATGAGATAAAAGGGTCTAGAGCAGAAGTCCCCAGTCTTGTCTGCACATTGAAATGATCTGTGGAGCTCAACAAATACTGATACTTGTGCCTCACTCCCAAGAGTAGTAATTTAATCAATTTGGAAGGTAGCTTGGTGTTTGGAAGGAATAAAAGATTTCCAGGTACAGACAAGTCTAGGAACCACCAAATAAGGAATTTCACAGTCAGAAGAGCAATCTCTATGCCAGCTGCTAGTGGCCACAGTGCTCTTTAGTCCAAAGTGGTGTGGTCTCTAGATCAATACCATTAGTTACTTGCTTAAAGTGAAAATTCACTGAAGACATGGCTCAAGTGGTAAAGTGCCTGCCTAGCAAGTGTGAAGTCCTGAGTTTAAGCCCCAGTACCACCAAAAAAAAAAAAACTCACCTCCCCTAAATGTGGAATAAAAGTGAAAATTCTCAGCATCTACCCTGGATTTACCAAAATTAGAAACTCTGGGTTTATCTATTTTGACAAGCCTTTCAGGTGGTCCAATGTTCACAGCAGTTTGTGAACCATTGCTCTAACCCAGAGGGTCTCAACTGGGGTGGTTTTGTGTCCCACAGGACATTAGTCAATGTATGATGATATTTTGGGTGGTCACAATGAAGAGGTGGTGGTGCTAATAGCATCACCAGGGAGTCTATTTAACATACTGCAAGCACAGAATAGGCTCTCACAACAACAAAAAATAACTAAAATGCCCTTAGTACCAAGACTGAGAAAGTCTCCTTCTGGTCTGCTCTTGTATATGGTGAATTTGATCTGTCCCAAACTCGTGTTCTCTTGGGAGTGTTTCTATCCCGTGTGCTGTGAAACAGTAAAGTAAGCAACTGGATACTATGGCAGTGAGCTAGATTGTTGAGCAATTGAATGAATGGGTGATCACCACAAATTATAAGGAGAAAGGTAAAGGCTAAAAGTCATTCAGATGGCTGGAGAAGTTTTTGAAGTAGTGAAAATTCACATCATTCCTTGTATCCAAACAACCTCAGCCTGTGTTTTAACAGGATACAAACAGACATAGTCAACTCTAAGGAACAGAGCAGCTTAGTACAGATGAATATTTGGGGTGTGTGAGACACACAGAACACTGGTGGACCCTTTCACTTTGTAATGCATGGGTGGCATCGGGTTTCTGTGGATGTAAGCTCCATCTCTATTAGAAAGCAACAGTTGCCACATGGACACTTACTATTGTCAGGCAAATACTGGTTTTTGGACCGAATTTCCATGGTTTTGCTGACTTGCTTTGGTATTCTCAATCGCAGCCAAAATCAGAACTCAGACCCAGGTCACAGTGAGAGTGACTGACTTGTGAGTCCTTTTGTCATCAGTTGAATCAGTTCTGAGGAAGAAAGGTAATGTTTCACACTTTATCTATGTCAATATGATTTCTGAGCTTTGCAGTCTCTGGACACACCGATGACTCTAACATTTGTACCTGTCAGTCTTCTGTGTTCCAAGACTATGCTAGTA